TAATTATCTTTTAATTAATAATTATCTTTCCTTTGGTGTGACCGCGTTAAATTATTTCGATATCATCTATTCCGTTTCGCCACCATATAATTCGGTATTACACTTCCATGTAACCCGCCATCAATTTCAGTTCTCAAGAAATCAAGTCAATTAAATAAACTGGTTTTAATATTCGAATTCAAAAATAAAATATAAAAAACACTACAAATGTACATTAGAAAAAAGCCAGTCAAAATAGAAAAAAATCATGCAAAATAAAACATTACTATTGTACATTTGAAAAGTCAAAATGAAAATGTTAATATATCACATTTTTACGCGATTTTTTTGGATATTATCCTTTTCGGAGAGGAGACAACTCCGAATTTGTATGGATCGTTAAAATCAGTCCAGCGGTTCTTAAGTTATAAGCGTAGTAACTAACACAACTTACATTTATATATATAGATATATATATATATATATATATATATATATATATATATATATATATATATATATATATATATATATATATATATATATATATATATATATATATATATATACTAGCTGGCCCGGTCCGCGTTGCCGGCCCGTAGTTTTTGTCTATTATGCATATTTGTCAAAGCATAATTATCCACAGATATGACTGATATAAGTGTTCCCGTACTGGTCGATTAAAAGTGTTTTAAAATAGCTGTACCCATATTTAAGCCGTGGGCTTCAAAGGTGTGGATGTGCTATACAAATCTATTAAAAGTATATATCAATCTTATCCCCATGTAAGGGATCAAATTAATTTTTCGTATGGTAAAAATCGTAGCAAAATCTTTCAGTGAAATGAGCAGTAATTTGGAATTTGCTGTATTTTGTACACCTCATAATTGAGCGCTGAATGAATTAAGAATAGCCAAAGTTAATTACTTTTTTAAGCCATTAGCAACTCAGATTTTCCATTAGCGTTCTTATAAGTCCCCCTAAGGGGGGTACTATTATATGGAAAAAATTGTAAAATTTGTAGATATGTTCATATTTTTGTGTAAGTTTTCACCCCCCAAACACACATTTTTAGCCAAATCTTTTGAAATATGGTAAAATCAGGAGATACTTTTATATGGGCACTACTCCGAGACATCGACCTACATTGAAAACATTCTTCTAGCCCTTATAATCCAATATGACAAATAGAGACCAAATCAAAAATTTAACAGAACAACTTAGCATGTCAAACTGAAAAACATTCCGCGTGATTTAAATGAGTAAAAATAGTTTTATCCACCATATTATCATATAGATGTATTTCCCAAATCTACGTTTCCAACCAATATTCTCTTGAGAGTTACAAATTCAATAGAATACAAAATTTTCTTTTCTGACCACACATTATATGTGAAAGTGGACTTAGGAAAATACTCCAATGTGGGGACTTTACTTAAATAAATTCCTATGTGGCAATTATCTGTATGATGGTTCCCTAACCCCTTAGAGACAAAGATGCCAAATAAGGGCCAAAATATGAAAAAAGTGGCCAAGACGCCAAAAATAGCTTACATCGATATCATGACCTGCAAAAGTGATTTAAGGTATATTGAATGTTTGGGAAGAATTCCTGGAAGGATAGAAATCCTTTTCTTACTAAAAGTTCCATTCGCTCTATTATTTTGCACCCTTTAAATTTGGTATTTTACTGATTGTACTTCCAAAGAATTTTGCATTTTGAGCTCTCATTGGACGGATTATTGTCACATGAAAGAAGTAGTTCCACGCTTTGAAATGAGCTCCATTAGGCTTTTTCTGTCATTTTTGGTTGTTTAAATGTGTTCGCAAATACAAATTTAAAAAAATGACAAAAGAAGAATAACAAATTGAAAAAATCTTCAACTTGTTCGCTGATTTATTACAGCAAATGTTTAAAGACCCTTACTATTATTTTAAAATTCGATTCCACTGAAAATCTTTTCGATTTTTTCCCGATTTGATAATTTTTGCAATGAGATCTCTTTTTCGTGATTTTTTAGCGAATTTGAAAAAGTAATTATCTTTTAATTAATAATTATCTTTCCTTTGGTGTGACCGCGTTAAATTATTTCGATATCATCTATTCCGTTTCGCCACCATATAATTCGGTATTACACTTCCATGTAACCCGCCATCAATTTCAGTTCTCAAGAAATCAAGTCAATTAAATAAACTGGTTTTAATATTCGAATTCAAAAATAAAATATAAAAAACACTACAAATGTACATTAGAAAAAAGCCAGTCAAAATAGAAAAAAATCATGCAAAATAAAACATTACTATTGTACATTTGAAAAGTCAAAATGAAAATGTTAATATATCACATTTTTACGCGATTTTTTTGGATATTATCCTTTTCGGAGAGGAGACAACTCCGAATTTGTATGGATCGTTAAAATCAGTCCAGCGGTTCTTAAGTTATAAGCGTAGTAACTAACACAACTTACATTTATATATATAGATATATATATATATATATATGTATAGATAGATTAAAAAGATTTTAAACCAATATCTTGTTTATTTGGGAAATATAAGGATTTTAGATAAATCGAAATAGTGGGCGTAAAAGGAGGCGTGCTCAATATTTTTTTCTTTATATATATATATATATATATATATATATATATATATATATATATATATATATATATATATATATATATATATATATATATATATATATATATATATATATATATATATATGTTCTTTAAAAATTGTCTTGGAAAAAGGGTCTTCAAAAATCCTCGATTTTGAATAGCATATTCCTTCAAAAACAGGTCTTTAAACTTGAATTGTTTTTGTGCCTACATCTTTGGACTGCGAATGTAACGTAAAAAACTCCTTAAAAATCCAAAAAAACACCACGATGATAACTCTGATAATCCTTCAAAAAATCATAGTTAAAAATGTGATAGTTCTTCTAAAAATGGTATTTCAAAATCCACAATTAAGAAACTAAAAGTTCTTCAAAAAGGTTTTTAGAGATTTTTTTCTCAAACTCTTCTTCTTAAAAATATATTAAAAATCCACGATTGTGGATCGGATATCCCTTCAAAAACTTGTCTCTAATATGTGGGATATACGAAGACACTTTTCTATCTTAGGCTGTAGTATCCGTTACGAAGTTCAAATATTAAATTTGAAACAAATCGCGTGAATAATGTCGCTAAAATCATGAAAATACCGAATATGGGGAGGTACCGTTATATGGGGGCTATAAGAAGACGTGGACCAATCTTCTGTCATAGGCTGTAGTATCCATTACAAACTTCAAATGTCAAATTTGAAACAATTCCAGTGAATAATGTCGCTAGAATCTTCAAAATACCGAATATCGGGAGGTACCGTTATATGGGGGCTATAAGAAGACGTGGACCAATCTTCTGTCATAGGCTGTAGTATCCATTACAAACTTCAAATATCAAATTTGAAACAAATCCTTTGAATAATGTCACTTGAATCATCAAAATACCGAATAACGAGAGGTACCGTTATGTAGGGCTATACAAAACGTCGACCTACATGGAACATTTTTAATACCAAAAGTCCTGCAGATATAATATACATTTGAGCAAAATTTTATCAACCTACTTCATTTTGTTCGTAAACTACAGTGATTTCCATAGACGGACAAACGGACAGACGAACAAACGGATAGACGAACGAACATCACTAACTCGACATAGAATTTTATTTTGCCCAAGAATATATATACTTTGTGGGGTATAAAATGCATATTTCATGGTGTTACAAACGGAATGACGAACCCAATGACAGTAACCCTGATAATCCCTTAATATTTGAAAAAACACACACAATAGTCGATATGACAATGCCACTGATAGTTCTTCAAAAATTGTCATTAAAAATCCTCGATTGTGATCCGGTAGTCCCCAAAACTGGTTGTTAAAAATCCGCCATTTTGACTTTGATAGTCCTTGAAAAAAGGTCTTTAGAAATCCAAGGACGACCTTAAGAATGAGCCGAAAGATGTCCTGATATATTAACCAAAAGATGTTCTAATAGGTAAGACGAAAGATGGGCCGATAGGTGAACCGAAGGTGATCTAAACGGTGAACCGATAGATATCCTGATAGGTGAGACGAAGAATGTGTTGATAGGTTAGCAGAAGGATGTCTCGCTAGTAGAGGCGAAGAATGTCCTGATGGTTAACGGAAGAAAGTCTTGGTTGGTGAACCGAACAATGTCCTGGAAATCCAAACGAGCCAAAAATGTCTAATAAGAGAACCGCAGAATGTCAGATGGCTGATCCCAAGGATATCCTGATAGATAAGCGGCTAACCAGATGAGAATTATATTGAAAACGTGTGGCAAGACCCAGCTGGGTATATCACCAACATATTTTATGTTGGGCGCCATTTTCTAATCGCTTCTGTCTTTATTAAAGACATATTGAATTTTCTAACTTTTAAATATTTTCAAATTTTGAAAGAACTCAAGCTAAGCAAGTTACCTCTAACGTAAAGCTGGAGACAGTGTAGTGAATTTTTTATAGTGACATAGCAATCGAATCAATGTAACTGCCCTTATGAATGTATCCTTTCCATGGGATTTAAATAAATAACATTTGAGACTAATAACCTTGATATTCATATTTATCCTCTTCTCAGCAACAATATCATAGAAGATTTTTTAGCACATTGGTATTTTTTTATTCGACGAAAATTTCTTAAATGAAGGAAAATGTTATTGAAAATGTGTGACTTCTATCTATCTTCTATTTGGTAGATTTGACTGTTAAGACGGCGGTATATTTCTTCTTGGGTGCCACTTTCTAAGTTAGTTTTTATATGCAGGGGACAGTTATGACCGTCAAGACCCCGGTAATATGGCCCATATTTCATGTTGGGCGCCATTTTCAAATTGAGTTTTTATATGCAAGGGACCAAATGTCTTCTCATCTATGGAAGACAAACTGATCTTGCCAAATTTAAACAAAAAATAAATATTAAAAAAAACAAATCTAAAGAGAATTTTCAAATAATGATTTTCGAAATATATTTTTTTCAGTTTGAATGAAAACCAACAATCGAAAGAAAAATAAACAATTTTTTGTAAAATATCATACAAGGTTTTTATTGCAAAACGATTAATCTTTGGACGACATAACAATTCATTATCCTCAAACTTCCTGGACAGGTGCGGTAGCCATTGTAGTGGTGCAATGGACAAATTCTCCTGGTTGATACACATCCATTTTAGAGGATTCTGGTACCACAACCTTAGGATGACGCATCTTTTTGTATTGTTTGTAAACCGGATACCACATGGAGGCAATGAATACTGGAATTTTGTGGAGCACATTAGATTTTATGTAGCTGGATTTACATAATCTGTACTTACAAATAAACACTAAACAGACAGCAACTTCAACGTCAGACTCTTCCTCAAAGAACATCGTAAACAAATCAACGACAACATCGAAGAAACTCAAGACCAGCCAGGGAGCAACAAATTTGTAATTTTGCTAAAAAAAAAGAACAATATCTCATTTACGCTTTTATAAAAGGGTGACATGGAGATTTCATACCTTCTTAAGGCCCATAACAAGAAGAATGGATATCATGGTCATTATAACAGCACTAACAAGATCTGTGACATATATGGCTATCTCCTTACCTGAGACAATAGAAAGTGTAAAAAATTTAGTTTTGTTCAAAATTCCATCAGTATTTTCACTTACGACTAAACTGCTTAAGTTTTTCGCCACTCATGGTTAGTTCGTCAGGATCCACCACCTTGCCATCGACAGCTTTTTCACCCTTGGTCACGTCTTCATCATCTTCGTCCATATTATGCACCCCAATCAGCCCGGTAAAGGTGTACAGAGCCGATATTGTGTAACCAAAAACACAAAAATATGCCACAAACAAGGCCCATTTGGGAGACGCCATTCTGGATGGATAGCTAGTCTGGAAAACCTGTATGGAAATGCAAACAACAAGCTCTGTGGAAAGTTTCAAATTGACTAAATTCTAATCATTGCCCAAACGTCTAAAGATATTCGTTGATGCTCTTTAATTGTTGAAGATGAATTGTTTTCGAACTGAATTTGATAATTTTTGCCTGCTTAGCGATAATCTTCTGTCCATTCTGCATTGACCTTGAACTTTTTCTTTCCATTTAAGACAAAGAAATGTTTGGCATAATACACATTTCGTCAGCATGCAGAGAGAAGGTAAAATTGAGTATTTTGAAAATATTTGAAAATAGTTCTTTAAGATGATTGATCTTTGTTATCGAAGAGGAGCAAATAGATTATTAGGTCTTGAGGACTGATTGTGATGTATTGGAAATCCGCGATTTGAAAAGCTAGTCGGGGATAGTCACTGGATATGGGGCAGAGTATAGGCTTAATAACACTATGTAACACCAAAAATAATTACAGGGAAAATATTGTTGATTATGAAAGCTGAGGACACTCGTTTTGGGCGTTTTTAAAGTTTACCTCGCAAAGTAATCTGAATATGGCAGGCAAGTTTCCCCTTCCTTCACAAATTTTTATACCCTCCACCATAGTATGGATTGGGATATGCAGGTAGTTTTTGAAATGTATACTTATGTGCATTTGGTACAATTTGGATCTGGGTCAACCGATAGAGCTGGAATGCTTTCATTTGGAAATAGGAGTACTATTGTATTACAGGACTACGTTATGTAGGTTTTTTTGGCAATTGGTACTTACGTGTACTAAATGGTACTACATATGGTACAGTTCCGATGTGAGTGGTACATCAGAGATGGAAAGCTGAAATTTGGAAATAAAATCATTGCATTGTAGGTTTTGGGTATTCATACTTATGTGTACTAAATGGTACTAAATTTTTTACAATTTTAATTTTGGGAGAACCGGTAAAATCTTTAATTGGAATTATTGAGGGATTGTAGGATCGGGGTATGTAGAAAATGATGATTTGAAAATTCGTACTTATATGTACTACATGGTACTAAATCTGGTACATTTTGTATATGGGCGAATCGATGGGGAATCCTGAAATTTGGAATTGGGATTACTGTGGGAGTATAAGCTTGGGGTGTGTATGAAAATCTGTTAATTCGTAATTATGTGTATATTTGGTACAATTTGGATTTGGATTTGGGTGAACCGATAGGGCTGGAATCCAGAAAGTGGGAAGTAAGATTATATGATTATATGATGTAGGTTGTTATGGACATTTTTACTTATGTGTACTAAATGGTACTGAATTTGATATAAAATGAACTGAGATTCTGAAATGTAGAATGAGATTCACTGATGGAGTACAGGAAACATGTACCAAAGTGTTTTTGGAAATTCAAACTTTAAGGTTGCGATAATTACTAAAATTTTAGTAAACTTCTTATATGGTACCATTTGGTATTATGTGATCTTCAAATACATAAAAAATATTATAAATTCCAACTCTTGGGCAAAAGGCCTACCACGGATGAGGAAGAAAACAACATTTACTTTCGCTTTAACGTACATACGCCATTCAGCATTATATTTTTATGCCCTACACCACATAGTGGTAAGGGTATTATGTCATTGTGCATTTGTTTGTAGCATGGAGAAGGATACGAGATAGACCCGTAGTTCCTTTTGCTAATCAGCATAAATTCACATTGTTGTGTCGATTTATGCATGTTCGTCCGTCTATCCGTCTGTCTGTCCGTCCGTCCGTCTGTCCATGTATTTTTGTAAACAAAATGCAGGTCGATCTAAATTTAGACATTGCTCACATATATATCTTCATCCGATTTTAGGTTTCTTGTGCACCAAATGGCTAATACCAATCCAAATGGTGTGAATTTTGCTACATCCGACCGAATTCAGCCTACAAGCATGTGATTCAAATTTGGTAAAAATCGGTTCAGATATATCTATAGCTCCCATATATATGTTTCATCCGAGTTTGGCGTTTAAGTCCCTTACATTCGTTTATGCACTCCACGCCAGATATCAGATACAACCTAGCAATTCATAGATCAAATTTTATCAAGTTCGGTTTAGATTTGGATATAGCTCCTTTATATATCTTCATCCGATTTTAGAGAATTAACATATAAAATCATTCACATATAATCGGAAATTATGGCCAAATAATAACAAATATTTTTAGTTTAATGTTTAACATAATGCTAATTCCTCCTGGTCTGACACGATAGAATAGGTTGAAATATTTCAGTGAACTGAGCAATTTTCCAAAAGTAAAATCAGTAAAATCACCAAGCAACATGAGTATGAGTTATATGTTACATTTACAACAGATGTTTCTGTTTCAGTCAATCACAGTGAACTGATAACCCCTGCTTGCCATTTTACGAATTCCGTTTTGTTTTTAGTTCCGATTATCTTCTCCTTTACAGTTACTTTCATTAACGGCATTGTATTTGTTTACACAGCCAATTAGCCAGCCAGCCAGCCAAATACAATTGTAGGTGTGTTCACATTCTGCGGTAATGCAAGTTTGTCACCCGGTTTGTTTAGTTTACAGTCCCGTCGGTCGGTCGGGTCGAAATACATACCGAACAGACAGACAGACAGCTTTGTTGGTCAAGCTGCCTTGCAGCCAAACATATCAATTCCACCAAATATCCTTTTCTAACGCCATTTTAGTTCACAGCCTTTGAAAAACTCTAAATAAAAGTTCCAAAAAAGAAAAAAATAAAACACAACAAAATGCCAGTACAGCGCCATTGTATTGTTAAAGGCTGCACTGAGCAGGGAGTACCATTGTTCAGTTTCCACTTGGAAAATATGGACGTATGGCTACAACAATTGGGTATGGTGGGTCGAGAGATTAAATGCTCCTACGAGAAGGTGTGTCAAGTGCATTTCGAGAACCACTGTTTTGCCAATCATATTAAGACTAAGCTACAACCCGATGCCGTTCCCACATTATTTCTCCAACCGAAGAAAATCGAAAGACAGGTCCAACCAGGTAAGCATACAATGCATGAGATTTAGTTTAATTAACAAAGTATGATTTTTACATTTAAGATTTCAATATAGTATTAAATAGCCTGTGATGCGGGTACCTTTAATGGGTCAGAAGAAATAGCTGTGAAAATAATGTTATACACATCCGAATAGACCAAAGGAAATTTCAATGCAAAACTGACAAGCAAGATCGATTATAGAAAAGTCCACATTTCGTTATGGAATAATTATGTCCTCTCCAAAGTGTAGAATCGGTTATAGCCCTTTTATCGGAGGAATATATTGTATTCCAATACGATTTTAGTCATGGTTATTATAAGGTATATGATGGAAACCATTACGTCTCGCTCCAGCATAAACCATAAAATTGACCAAGTTGTAATTAAAGTTTAGCTAGTGTTTGATTCTTGCCATTTACAATGCTACAGTTTCCATTTTAACATAAAAATTGCCAACACTAACACTGTGTTAATCGTGTAAGAAATGGAAGCCCTTATGCTTTAGATGTAAATTAACACAATGAACCAACAATCTACACTTCTATGACTTTGGGCCTATGTAGCTTAAAGACCATTAGTCCCATAAACAACATATAATTGGATAAACCTAATAATTTTGGTGTTCATCGTATGGAGAAAAGAAGCCCTTATATTTCATTGGCACAATAATGTAATAAAACAGCAATTCCAATATCTTACGGTCATGAGCCTTTTATACATCCCAAATTAACGTCTTCTATAGAATGACCATCTAAAGAGTTCTAAAAGTATTCAATACAAAATAATTTTAAGTCCTTCTATGCAATATCATATGCATATAGAATAATAAAATAATCTTAAACACAGAAGACCGAATGATTTGTATACGATGAAGAAATTTTAAAGGCTTTCTATATAAAGATCATTTTTTTGTAAATATATTTTATCAATGAAGATAATGGAATATATAATTATCTTTTCACATAAGACCATTAAAAGGCTTTCTGTACAGAGAAGGCCGTATCAAGACTTTCTTGTAAGGGCCTTCCATACTCAGAAGGTCCTGAAAAGATCTTTTATACGCAGAAAAGCTCTTCAAAAGTTTTCCCTTGCATCTTTTTTGTGTCTTCAATGTGCATAGAAGCAAAAAATAATGTACATTTTATGCACAAAATACCTAAGAATTGATATTATGATAGCCCTTATAAAGAAAGGATCTATAACTCTTCCGCAGAAATAAGCATTGAAATGTCTTCAAATGCCTCTTATTTGTTTTCTATGAATTGAAATCCTTCGTTGTAATTCAAAGCTTAAATTGCTGCCACCTTTATTCACTCTTTTCTTCAAGAAGTCTGTCCTTAAAGCCATTTTCTTGCAAATTCTAAGATTAAATTAATTTTTGAAATTTCCCCATATTTATTTCCTGCTAAATATAAAAATTCTTCATTCAATTATAAAATTATCCGTGTAATAAATTAGTGTTTTTGTTGTAGCCATTTGTTGTATTCAAACAGCTCTTACATATAATAATCTCCACCAAAACCACCAGGGGGTGGGAAATGATCTGGATTTGGATTGGGTCTAATACCACGTTCTGGTGGTCCATACGGATCAAAACGGGGACGTGGTCCATTATTTGGTCCAATACGAAATTCTGGATGTGACGGGAATGGAAATAAATTACCGGGACCGCCACGGCCCAAGGGATCCAAATCCCCACGGCCTACTTCGGGGAAACCAAATGGTAGAGGGCTGTGAAAGAGAGAAAAACGTTTAGTTTTGTGCTAAGTTTTATCCTAAACCCGTAACGCACCCTCCGAATGGTCGCCTGGGTTCTCCAATACGCAGTGGATCTGGGTCTGAGCCACCAAATGGGCGTCTTGGTTCCCCAACGCGTAAGGGGTCATGATCTGGACTAGATGTTGATGTTGTAGTCTGGGTTGTGACTTCACGGCTTGTTCCAGAAAATACCTATAATGACAAAATGTTAATATATTGCTGCTACAAATATTTTAAAGATGTACAGCCAAATTCTAAATGGTTACTTGAGGAGACTTCTTTATTGAGTAACTTAACTTGAGGAAGACAAGAGACGTATATTGATGTGAAATAAATGATTCATATTTTTATTTCAAAAATGTATGTTAGCCCTTTTTGGATACTCTCTATTAATTTGAATTTGATTGGTAAAGATAGTGACAAACAAGAAATCACCTCAAATGCCCATTCAGAGCGGAATTGATAGTATCTTACCGGTTCCAATAACTCCTTGCGATAACGATCTGTTAACTCGGATGCTGTTGGTATCATTTTCGTCAAACTTCCCTTTAGTTCTTTAACCAATTCTTCGGCATTTAGACAGATATTGGATACCTTGTGCGACTTGACATCCATTAAAGTAATTATCAATGAGCCTTCAGTGCGTAAACCCAACAATAAGTACAATTGCTTATTATGAACATAACGCAGGGCATAATTTTTCTCATCATCATTCCAATTGTCGGGCAAAAGTTCTGAACCAGATTCTTCGTCTTCTGTGGTTAAGGTTTTCTAAGCAAAAAATAAAGCATAAAATAAACTCAGTTGCGTTGCTCCAACTTCATTTACTCCACTTACATCGTCCCCCAAACCAATGCATCGAAACTGTGAATTCTTCGTCAACACAAAATGAACCAATGCAATTAGCAAGTCATCCTTTTTGTTTATTTGTGTGGCAATTGTTTTAAATAACAAATCCCAACCATAAAAATCTGTGGCCGACATAATTTCTTGCGCTTGCTTTTCTAGTTGTCAGCGTTTTTTTTTTATTTTCTTTTGCTTTCAATTTCACCACTGATTTCTCAAAATATTCTTCAGCTACTTTCAGCCTTCCATCAGTCGGCTATTTTGTTTATATCTGTTTTTATCAGCTGTTTCTTATAGACAAATAATTTTTGCGAATTTTTGGGGGAATTCTTTGTAATGGGACCGAAAATATACAACTGTGTGAGGAACAAGTAAATCCTTTAATATTGTAGTACGACAAATGACAGAACTTGCAGTGTGCTGTCATTAGACGTTGATGTACACAAATGGTGGAAGAATATATGTAGACGCGCCGACACAGATGCTGGGATAATGAACTGTCAAACCAATTTTGGAATAGAAAATATTGAATGAAAAATTATTTAAATTTGTAAAAATAGTTGAATGACGTAGTATAAGAAATATATACAAATCCATGGTACAATGATATCAAGGTAGGGCTATGATACCATATGATTTTAATTTTTTTTTATTTTCTTGGCTTAATCTGTCATCTTTATTTGTTTATGTATGTATTTTCTTTTCAATAACAAAAAAAATTGTTAAGAAAATATTCAAATTCGGGTTTTTTTTAAATGTTTATTTCAACGTATGCATCGACAAAATCTACAGTTTTTGTAGCGAAATAATCCTTTAGAGATATATAGTACATGATTTTGAGATGTAGTGTTGACCTTTCATTGTACCATGTACAAATCTACTTATATTTGAAAAAACATTTAATTTTTTTTTGACATATCAATGCTCCCAAGCGTTGATGCATCTACCTGTATTCTTCTGCCATGTGTACACATATAGCTAATGTCATGTTCTCATTGAGTAACTCCCACAATAACATGTGTATTCCAAGCAAGCCAGATATTTTTCTTTCGTGCTCACATTCGAATCGTAATACAAAATGCGGGAAACAGATTAAAGCTACAATCGTGACTTCGGCGTAAAAATTCAACATATTAAATGTTTGGATTTTCTTTCAAATATATGAACAGTTTTAATATTTGAATACCATGGCATAACTGGCTAATATCATTCTGCGTCGTCTCACAATTTACATTTACATATGTTCGGTTCTAGAACTGTTAAAAAATTACTATAATAACATATATTCTCTTTATGAGATCGGTTGAAGAATGCAGTCAACTTAAAAAAAAACAATAAAGTGGGTGGGGCCGTTACATGGTGGACATACACAACGGGAACCTATTTGCAGACGAATTCGTAGAAAATCCGTGGAAAATGTGGCAAAAATACATTTAAATACACATAAAATGATTTTTTTTTCACAGTCATCGGGTGTTTTCTTCGTAGAGGAACAAAGAAGTTTAAGGTTGACTTAGAAGATAGGTCAACTTTGAAAAAATTGCAAGTATAGAGGTCTACCTGTTTGGCTTGTAATGTCAGAATTACTATCAAAACAATTAAAAAAGCAAACAACTTGTTGCATTGATTTTGAATAAATAATTTAAAACCGCGGAAACTGAATGAATGGTCAAAATTTCTATTCAATATCATGTTCTATATATGTCTTATGGTTTATTTCGCGACAAAAACTGTAGATTTTGTCGATGCATTCGATGCAATAAGCATTTTGAAAACACCCGATATTTTCTGAACAATTTTTTATTATTGAAAAGAAGACACACACATAAGCAAATGAAGTTGACATATTAAGCCAGAAAAATAAAAAAATTTAAATCATATGGTAGTTCTGCCCTACCTTGAATTCATTGTACCATGGTTCGACCCTATCTTTCTTTTATGGTAGAAGAATGTCAAAATTTTTTAAGTGCTTTGCCAAAAATAAGTCGATTTTTATATGTTTTCTTTTACGACGCAAACCGGAGGCTGTAATGATATGTATTTTTCACAATTTAACAAATTTCAATAATTTTTAATTGCCGGTATTCAATATTCATTCATAATTTTGCTTTTTAATTTTACCGATATTTGTCGTTAACTAAAAAAATGCTTTAGATAATCACATTACAGATTTCTAATTTTTTCTACAGATCTTTTTTAATTTAACATTTTTATTAGTGATTAGTACGCAAATTTGGAACCAAGAACGTTTAATATTTTATTTTCATCAATGTTTAATTTTTTTCTTCAAATTTTTGCTTTTCTTTTTTTTTAATTTACGTTATTATTTATTTATTGTTTTCTCTGTACTTTTCCATTTAATTTTGTAAAAAAAAATATGTTGAATTTTACCCTGTGTTAACATATATTAACAGTAAAGCAAATTTGAGGTGTTACCATAACACTTTATCGTTGAACTGCTATAGCCATACACAGATGTATTTTTTGGTATTAAAACAATGAGATGCAAACGAGTAGTATGTACAACCGGTCTTTTTCTCTACAATTACAGCTGTTCATTTCAATATAACTTCACGAAATTATATAAATACACCGACATCGTGGTAATAGCTTGGATATATAGACAATACATTAGTGTGTGTTATCCATTCTCTATGAGTTTATACTAGGTTTAAATGACGGCGTTTTAATATATATGGGAATGCCATGAAATTAAACGTTGGATTAAAGACAGGTTGCCTTTGCTTTCATTGGCTGTTTAGGGTAGATTTCTGCAAAAATGTGACGAAAATAGGAAGGATAACTTTTGGCGATTATTATGAGATATTATCCATGTGTGTGGAATCAATTATAGAGTGTGGCGGTAGTATCGTATAATAATGAAGTCCTCTGATTTGAAAATGACCACACGTTAAACAAATCGTTTCTCTTTAATTGGTCTTCCCATTTAACTAGCTTTCTGCTATTAGCGACTTTGGCGGTCTCCGTCATATGGTGTGGTACCATAAGCTGCGAAGAATTATATATTTCTAATCATTAATGTTACAAGAATTGTTTTATATAGGAATATCGATAATTTGTGAACACTTCGCTAGTCTCATGTTTAGTCCCTTACTAAAACCGACTATATGGGTTCCGTGTTCTTTGAAATCCATAACTATGCCATTTCAGTATTCTGCTAGTATGTTGGTTACCGCTGCTAATAAATCGCAGATTAGCATCGGACACTATACACTGAGTTGTATTTCAGGGTTTTGAAAATAAATTTCTGATCAGTGAAAAATCTGTGACTCTCTTAGTGTTCGATGTGAAATGGAAAAAGGCTTTACATTTATGTTTTCAAAACAGGAATCCTACTTAAAAGTGAATTCATGCCCATTTTGACTCAATTTTGTCTGCAAAAATGGAAACCCACGAGAATTTCTTATCTTACTACATATTCAAAACATTTTAAATACGATTATTAAGCTAAATGGAGATATGATTATTTTATAGTCACAATTGGGATTTTATAACTATAATTCTTACCTGGAAAGGATTCTTACCAATGAACAACAATTACCTATTGGGGTTAAAGACTGACTTTCAGGGCAGGCTTTCAGGAATTCTGGCATTTATACTTTCACTTCTTTACGCTGCGAGTTGTAATTTTCTAATAGACTCTTGAATGTATTACGAGCCCATCGCTTAATCCGGTTCGAAGGGCCTGAATTTTACTTTTTAAAAAATGCTGATCGTTATGGATCGCTTCGGAATTCATTATAGATCAAAATCAAGATCCTACATTAGCCTATAATTGTAGTCCTATAATTACAACTATGGGTGACCAACCACCTACACCTACCTTCCGGATAACCTATAAACCACTTTTTTATTACAACAAAAGATTTTTATGATTCTTGAACCAAGATGGCGTCGACCAGTCAAGCAACGATGACAACGACCACACATTCCTTGTACTCGTCTCTTCTCTCCCTCTCTGTCTCATTTGCTCGTATAGCATTTTACACATAGCATAGCATATTTTGAATGGCACGAACAAAAACGAAGCGTCCGCCATATTGATGAATATTGTGTTCACATATAATTTTTTCGCATATGACGACAACGCAACGAACGACGACTACTACCAAGAGTCAAAGCATACAGTACATTTTTGTTGCGGCCACAAGAAGAGAAAGAAGAAAAATTATTTGGAAAAACAAAGGAAATATAGTTTTATAAAAGAAAAATTGGAAAATATTTTTTATTGAAAATCGAGAAAAGTTAAGCAATATTATGTGAAGAAAGGTGCAAAATTAAACAACAGTGTGTGTTTGTGCGATAACTTGATTGTTGGTTTTTTTTTCTCGAAAAGAAGAAGCAAACGAAAGGCAAAGGGAACAACTTTTTGTTGTTGATGGACGGACGGACAGGCAGTCGAAAGTGAAAATTAAATAATTTCTTCGAAAAAAGAACAAAACGTGTTGAAAATATTCCAACTTCTGGTCGGCCAGCGGTTACTGTGTGCCTGGCTAGCTTTTAAGAACAATTCCAAAAAACTATGAGTGAGGCTATGGCGGCGATGGCTGGAGGGAGCTCCAGCTTAGAAATGGCATCGCCATCCAATGTGGCTGACGGCAGCAAAGGTTTGTTCACGTTCATATGATTGTGTTTGTGTTGAATGAATGAGTGTTTACGTTTAGATATAAATTGCGCCAAAATTTGTTAATTCTATAGGAAACAAAGATGTTTAGTTAAATTTCAATATTAAATGTTTGTGAGGTTTGTAATTTTTTTTTTTCATTATATCTAATGAGAGTATAGGTTGCCTGCCATTTTGTTAAATTTCGGTCGAATTAATTTGCTGTACCGTGCAAGTCCATTTTGCCGGGCGAATTTAGGTAATATTCTAGTATAGACATACACCTTTTGACATAATGCAGTGTTGTATTTTAACCAGCTATAATGCCATTGCTAAAATTATCATTTGCTATAATTTTGCAGAAGCTTTAAATGAAAGCCTGTGTCCTTAGATAGGAAAGCTCCAAGTTATAGTTTTTAAAATGGCGTAGCGTTGCAAAGCTTCCAAATAACTTTTCCTAGAGGGAACATAACCTGTTGAAATAATAGTTTTTGGAACCGTGCTGTAAATCTTATAGTAGTACACTAACTAACGCATGGTAGATGTAAGCAAAACAGCTGATTCCAATTTGTTTAAAAACTGCAAAGCGATCGCAAATAATTAAAGTGGTCTTTTAAGAATCAGCTGTTTTTTTAGCTCAAATAAAGGTCAGTGGGATTTATTTTTGGTTCGTTTTGTACTTCCATAAGTATTTATTTTTGGACAAAGCTTATTTTTAGACTTGGTCGTATCATTATAGCAAATATTTTTGGGCTTGACTAGTACAAAATTCTCGGATTTGTTTTGAGTTGGCAACTTTGCATCTGCCAATTTTTTGATTTGTATTTATTGTATTGAAAAATAAAAACTAAATTTCAAAATCAATGATTCGAAAAAACGTACATTGTAGGCGAATTAAAATATTGAACAGTTTGGATCATATTTCATTATACTTAAAGCATTTTTACGTGTTATTGAAAACAACTTGTTGCTTCTAATTTTGAAGAATTTGAACAAAAAGCGGTCATACTTAATTACTTATTCAGCAATAGGTACTACATCGTTGTAAACCCTAAGTCATATGGCTATAGAGAGTATATATCATTTGATTGTTTATCGAAAGTAATGATTTAGACCCTCGGTCTCTTTGGACGAAATCCGTTTTAGGACATATGGAGTCGATCTGCCTGTCTGGCTGATGCGCACGATAAAAAAATGTTCAAAAAAAGATTAACCCATTTTGTTAAAACTTTGCAAATCCTAATGTTTATATCAATGCTAAGTCCAGGTGTGAAAGTGAAGAATGTCGTTCCAATCCTTCTAGTGCACCCCACAAATGGCTGAAATTTTAAGTAATCGTAATAATTATAAAATGCAAATTAATTGTTCGATTATCTAAAAATTGAAGATCGGATACAGCGGACTACTCCTTCTGGTAGCTACTCCACAAAGGGCAAACATTTGTAATATTTTTGCGTGCTTTGCTTCTTTTTATGGTTGTCCAATATATTTTATATCTGATCAAATCAGATGATTATTTGCATGCATTCCGTCTGTTTACTTTTCACAGTATTCTTGCAAAAGAGAATAAAACTATCTTACTCACTCAGATAGAAGTTGCTAGACAATTCCTGCGGGAAGAGTAGCCAGACAAACCTATTTCAGGGGATTTAATTTCATTCTTGTCCTCAAATACGAAATTCCTTCACTTTTCCTTCTAAAGTTTGCTAACGTAAACCATGGTACAATGAATTCAAGGTAGGGCAGAACTACCATATGATTTTAATTTTTTTATTTTTCTGGCTTAATATGTCAACTTCATTTGTTTATGTGTGCGTAATTTTTTCAATAATAAAAAATTGTTCAGAAAATATTCAAATTTGGGTGTTTTCAAAATGCTTATTAAAACGTATGCATCGACAAAATCTACAGTTTTTGTCGCGAAATAAACCATAGAGATATATAGAACATGATTTTGAACAGAAATTTTGACCTTTCATTCATTTTTCGCGGTTTGAAATTATTTATTCAAAATCAATGCAACAAGTTGTTTGCTTTTTTATTGTTTTGGTAGTAATTCTGACATTACAAGCCAAACAGGTAGACCTCTATACTTGCAATTTTTTCAAAGTTAGCCTACCTTGTCTTCATTGTACCATGACGTAAACCATTTTTGAACTATTTTCTAGAAAGCCATTCGATTACTTAAAAAACGTAAGAATTGCAGTCAAATTTGAAGTCTTGCATCTGATGTCGAAAGTATTCCTATTTGTTTTTGGAAATATTAAATTGGACATTGACCGATTCCCTCCTTTTTAAGCGTCTTTAACTGTAATCAATATTTAAATATATTTTTAATACACTTTCAAAACACAATCTGATTTACAATTTCCTCTAATACTATCTTCTTCCTTATACTCATTTCCAGCTGTTAGCTATGAATTCCATTCGAGCATCTCAGAAGAAGAAAAACGTTTTTATCTCAAAGCCTATCCAACGGTGGACATTGTACGTGATCGTAAAGTTCATTGTACAGTATGTAAGACACATATTGGAACAGCACCCGTACAGGAGACTGGAATTAAAATGCATCCAATTCTAAGGGTTACACATTGTTTGAAATGTCACGATTTTTATAATAGCGGCGAATTTAGTAAGGGCGAAGATGGCTCGGAATTGTATTGCCGTTGGTGTGGTCAAGGTGGCGAGGTATACTGCTGTTCCAGTTGTCCCTATGTCTTTTGTAAATCTTGCATTGTCAAGAATTTGTCTCGTGGTGTGGTGGCCGATATTGAACAGAATGAAAATTGGAATTGTTTCAGTTGTGCCCCGAAAATCTTGTGGCCACTGAGGGCACAGCATTGGGCACTAATGAATTACATAGAACAGCAAAAGAAGTAAGTATGATGGAAGTCAAAATCCGTGTTTTTTCATCCTTTCATATTAATGTTTTCCTTTAATGCTTTCAGAGAAGCCTATGCCATGAATCTGAGCGAACAGGAATTAGATCAATTTCTCCGTCGTGACCGTAGTAAATGTTGCCGTTTGGCCAAAGCAAAGTGTGGCAATATGTCTGATTCTATGGAAAGTTTAGATTCAGTGTTATCCAAGCGTAGTCAAGGTTCTTCGGGCTCAGCAAAGAAAGCTGCAAAACATGGAACAACGCCCTCACCACAACAGCCCAATGCTAAAAGACCGAAAAACAATGATGAAGTGGTTTGCACACCTGATTTACTTAGCATGTTGGAACCGGATTGCCAGATTACCGTCTCACAGAAAAATAATGGTGGCACTCCTCAGCGACCTTTGTCCACACAATCCGGCCCATCGCCCAGAATTATATCCATACAACAATCGCCGAACAGCTTTGGTGGTCAAAGCGTGAGCAGTTCTACACCCAAAACTTCGGCACCGCCGCCTTTGTTGCTGAGAAATACTGCCATAAAATTAAGACCAGCTACTCAGCCACCAATTGTACGTCGTACTGTCATTGGCCCGCGGGCACCTGCACCGGGTGGAAATACCGCTCCAGTGTATCATACCATTAATGGTTATCGCATTGATTTGAATTCGGCTGCACAACAGGAGACATTCCGTTTGCCCAATGGCAAACTGATTCAGGTCAAGAGACAGGGTCCGCCTCCGGGCTCCAATCAGGCGCCAACAACTAATTGGCAACAAATGTCCCAACAACAGCAACAACAAAGGGTGGTGCCACAAACAATTGCCTCTAGGCCAGTGCAAATTACCGCACACCCGTATCCGGGACCGAATGCCATTCAAACACCTGGCCAACCGCAGGTGGTGCGTTATCATAATAACGTCATTGGTTCTACAACAATTAATGCTATTGCTCACAATGGGACTCCATTGCAGGCTATAAATGGTCAAATACCAGCACAGGCACAAGTCGTACCCAATGCCCCTCAAATGGCCCCCGGTCAACCGATTCGTCCTGTTATGGTGCGTCACATTTTCCCCGATACTCCAATAGGGCAGGCCCGCACCCAGCTCCAGGAACAAGTGTTCAATGCTATGGAAATTTGTACACATCTAACGAACAAAGTTCAAACATTGACCAATTCGAATGCCTATAAACAGGCCAAAAATTATTTGGAAGTTAAGGAACTCTATATACATTTGTCGTATTTGCTCACCTATGCGATTGGTCGTTTTAAAGGGCTGCAAGATAAATGTTTGGCTGATATGCGTCATCTTGGCTTTGGCAATGATGCTGATTGTTTAGAAAATGGCCAACTGGCAGCAGGTAAGTTTGTTTTGTTTTTGTTTATGAGTTGTTCATAGCCTTAAAATCGTTTATTACTCCGAGTACTCTATTCGAATATAGAGTGGTTGTAGTACTCACATTTTCGAAAAATTTGAAAAAAAAAAAGAATTTTCTGTATTCATATAGGTTGTGTACATTTGCAATACCAATATGACAATAAGAAGATAAACGCTTCCAAATTGCTGTTGCAATAGTTTTAAGCTTGCTTTCGTATAATTGAATTTGAACACGAGTTCAAAGAGTGCGCATTCGGTTAACAATTCTAATTCCCTTATCAGTTATAATTAGAATGGTGGGACTATTCACATTTGTCTGTTTCTTCAGATACTAAAGGATTTTTGTGTCATACTGGAGTGAAATATGTGAGCGTTATACCTCTTTGTTAGTTACTACTAATGCGCTTTATCCTAATATTTTAATAAATCGTATTTGTTCAGGCCAATTACAGGGTTAAATAAAAGAAATGCAATAAAGTCAAACGCCATAATTTTTACATTGTTCCTGTTGGAATGTCCAAGGTAGCGCGGCCAAAATGTTTGCGTGCCCAAGGCTTTAATACACCCTCCAGAATATTTTCGAGAAAATATTCGGCATTTATTCTGATGCCACGGTCGATTAATGCGAGCTGAGAGCTACCATCGGCTGTTATGGCGGCCCACACCATCACCATGGCTGGCGCTTAAGGTCTGGTGGCCAACTGAAGGTGTACATTTTCAGGTGACCTCTTTGGCAAGTAAACACGATCATTTTGTTCGTTTACAATGAATGTTTTCTCATCGGAGAAAACCAAATTCGGCAGTTCACCACTTTCGGTCAAGCGAAGCAACTCTTTATCTCTTTTGAGTTTATTTTCTTTCTGTTACGGTGTATGTTCTTGCACTTTTTGGAATTTCAATGGTTGTAATGGTTGTACACCGAGCTCATTTTTCAATATTTGCCGAATGGAATATTGCGATATGTTCAGCTCACGCCCTTTTTTCGGCCACTGCGACGCGGGTTTCGATCAAGTCGCTTCTTTACTTTTCGTACCATTTCTGCTGATGTTCCTGTTTTCTTCCGTCGCCCTCTTGAAGTTGGGCTACGCTACCAGTATCACGGTAACGAGCGATGGTACGAGACACAAGATTTATTCACATTTAAATGCTGGAGTGCTCTAAAGATAGCCACTTGTGGTTTTCCAACCAAATATAAAGAAATCACACAATCACGCTTGAATTCCATCAGGAATAACTTTTTTCTGGAAAATTTTCACCTAAATGTTTTTGTACGCTTGTAAACAATATAATGAGCTATCACTGGAATAATTTTAACAGCTGTCGGACGATTGCGTTACAAATGAAAGCAGTCTGAAGTCGGTTGCAGCTTTTTCATTTCACCCTGTATGTTTTTGAATGTTAAATTATAAACACACAGTGGTGGGACGCGATAACCGCAACCATACGGTCCGATTGTAGGGGGATAAAATTTTGAGACAACCAAATTGGCCTTAAATTTCCTAGCGGAATAGCAAATATGTCCAACAGTTGTATAGCTCTAGATTTTTTTCAAACTGAAATCTTTATTTTTCTCAGGATTTTTATCCGACGTTTCACATCTCTTTTAGACTTTTCAATATAGGAGCATCTTATCTTATGGAATTTACAGGGTTGTCCATATTCGATGAACCCAACTGGCAACGCCATAACTTTTGACAGAGATGTCACATCGCTTAATGACATACCGCGTTTGAAGCGTCAGTCGAAGCAGATTTTTACCATGAACCAATACACGCCACGCGAAATAGTTGAAATTTACATTCAACAGAAGAGGTCAATTGTGAAAACTCAACGTGCTTTTAAAACATTAAAAAATGTGAGAAGTGCGCCTTCTAAGACACCATTAAGCGTTTATACGAACAATTTTCGATTGGTAAGGCTCTTTCTAATCCGAAGAGGCCATATAAAAATCGACCAAGGCGATCGACCGAGAATATCGCTGCCGTACGAGCCAGTGTTGAGAGGTCCCCAAGAACAGCCCAAAAACGCCGTTTTCAGCAGTTGGGCATGGCTCGATCCACTTTACAACGGATTATTCGCATTGATTTGCATTTGTTCCCGTACAAAATTCAATTGACGCAAAGAATGTTGCCTGCGGACAAGCCTTGTCGATTGGAATGGGCCCAAAGAGTCATGGGTCCGTCGAATATGGGCAACCCTGTACATCATGGGCATGAAGAGTTTTGAAAATGGAAATTGCAAACCGGCTGATTCTCCCGGTTCAGTTACTATTAAAGTTGGGAATACAATTTTGTTTTGTGTTACTCGAAACTCACTAAGCATATTTGCCGTAAGTAACAAGGAACAATAGAAATAGAAGTTTTTTGGTATGCTCAAACTGTGTATTGGAAAAGATACGCATGATATATTAAATACAAATTTCAATATTCTGACACCCTTTGCGAAAAAATGTTCATTGGGCCACACTATCCAAAACAGTGATTCTGAAAGAAAGGAGAGAGTAGAATAAAGAAGGCAAAGCAAAAGGATACTAGCTGAAAAAGCATATATCTGAAAGAAAGTATTAGGAAAGGAGCACAATTAAGAGATAGTTTATTTCTGAAGAACATATTTTTGTCCGGAAGGTCTATCGGCTAAAAAACTTGTTTTAATTTTAGTTGCGGTTTAGGTTTTGCTTTGTGAGGCAAAAACATCACTTAGAAACCATTGTATTAACAGTATGAACAAATTTGAAAAAATTAGATGGAGGATTGTAGAAGTTGGAACAATAGTAATGTAGAGTGCAAAAATATACCTTATGAAGAGACAAAGAAGGCCTCAACTGCTTACGTAGTAGAAGACGGTTTTCTGTCCAAAAGCATCGGACACACAGAAGATGTTTTGTTTTTTACATTTCATCAGAATGCAATTTACGATTTTAAAGACCATCATGGTAAGAAATCCTTTAATTAGAAGGTCTTAAGGCCCATTGCATTCTAGGAATTAATGTACGATCCATAATAGTGAATATGACTAAATTCCAACCCCATGGCATCCATAATTAATTTAGTAGTTGTAATTTAAAATTTTATAAAAAATATGTTATTTATGTATTTATCATTGTCTTAAGTCATTTTTCTTACACATGGACTTAAATTAAGTGTTATACGAAAAACAAGATGTTCTGAAAATATGTTAAATAATCATTAATGAAAAAAATGAAGAAAGCTTCACTAAAGATATAAAATAATTTACAAAACCGGAATGTAAGTACATAAAAGATATTAAAGACTAACCGAAAATGAGTTGTATTTCATTGACTTCCGGCTGCTACTATTCTATATTAAATAAATATTGGAAAGTAAAATAACCAGCATGGACTCCATAGAAGTAGTTCGATCCAGTTCCTGTTTCTCCCAACCAACTGCTAATGAATTGTTAACTCATATATAGAAAAAAAACGATGTGTCTCTCAATGGCACCTTGATTTTTGGTCCATGTGTTGTAATACTCGCATCTTTGCTTCTTTTCTTCACGCAGTATGAAAAAAGAAAAGAAAACGATCGAGTAAAAGAAAAAATGTCTGAAGGCAATGAAATTAAAACTCATTTGACGTTATTTTCAATTGTTTTTCTTTTAATTATCTATTCCTTGCTTTTTTTCATGGTTAATCATTTACTTCGCCGCTTCGCCCACCTTCAGCTGTTGATTATGTCTGCTATGGCCAGTTGGACGATGTTGATTTATTCAATACTGGTTCGAATAGTTTTCACAATCAAGTGTATGAATATCGCAAAAGTTTACATGCCAATCTCAAGGATGGTGAAGATGGCCCACGATCACCATTGCCCCCGATATTTGAATTGGGACAAGGTAAATCAAATGAAATATCCGATGATGAAAATGGCGAAGATAGTCTATTGGAAGCACCTGAAGGTGAAACAACAAAAGGCGGCGATCAATGGTTGGCTGCTGGTGATGATTCTCCTGCTCCGACCTACGATCAAGAGAATGAAGAAAATGAAGAGCCCGATGAATCGTATATGGATAATGATGACGACGAGGATGGTTATGGCAGATCTATGGGTGGTTATGGTAGTGGTTTTATGCAGGGCACCGAAGAATCCATGCGTCGCAATGAAGAATCTCATGCTTATGATCGGAAACTAACGCGTCTGGTGTCACAATATCCCTCAATATGGTGCACTCGACATCCGGATTATGGCAACTTTGAGGTGACCCGCAAACAATGGCGCATTATTGCAGCTCATTTTGATCGTAACGAAAATATTAAGCTACGTTGGAAGAATATACGCAAACGTTTTGTACGCATTGAAAAACGTATTGCCGATGGAAAACGTTTCAATGGCCACTTTGACAAGGCAATGGCGTTTTTGGCAAATCGTGATTTACCACCAAATCAATGGCTGCCCGTTGATTGTGGTGAAGATGATGGTGACACATATGATCGCCGGCAATTGGATGCCATGGAGAAGAATTTAATACGTCGAGAAAAAGATGAATTTGGCAGTAGAAAAGGCGCAGATGGTGGTTTTTCTGCTGTTACAGTAACAAGAAATCCGCATAATTATCAACCAGCCATAAAACCCATTGAAATCGATCCATTAGATTTAAAAATTATAACATTTGTCAAAACAAATCCAGTGTTGTGGAGAAAATCAATGGACCCGGAGGCCGATAAAATTGATGAACAAACTCGTTGCACTGTCTGGAAACAATTGGCCAAATCAATGGAGAGTAAGTAGAAACAAATTATGATTTATTCAATTAGTAATCAAGAGGTGAAAACAAACTGACAAGCGGAGGAGGTTACAAAACTTTCTGCAGTTAAATAAGAAGACGAATAACAGTGCCTGGCTATATAGTCAGACGCTTCGTTGCCCAACATACCTTTTTTACAGCCATTAAAAAGGTTAAAAGAGATATTAGATGGAGATTCGAAAGGCACTCCCCGATTCTCGTTATATGTCTAGATTTCAGTATAACCATATACCTCCTGTCTTTCGATGCCTTGAAGGGTCAGCCACCATTTTCTAACGGATTAACTTTGTCATAAGTCCCAAATATCCACCCATACCCTTTGTCATTTCATACACGCCTATACACATTGTCATCTGTCCATACCCTGTCCTACGTCTAAATTCGGTGAGTGTATAAAATCTTATAGAAAAAGAAATAGTTTGACGTTTTTATGGTCCCTGTAGTAGATGTTCATTCCTCTTGGTTTTAAGTATGTTAATTCATCTCTTGATTCAATTGATTTTTTCTTTTAATTTTACGTTACTAATTAGTTTTGACTTTTGTATCCTACCCAGATGTAACCACCGAATACATAAAGGACCGTTGGCAACATTTATATGAAATGTATAAAACCTTCCGTTTAAAAACCATTAAATCTTCAGAAGATCGTGCTAATCTTGAATTGAAATACTCAAAATATCTTGCGAAGCTATACTTCCTCTACAAGATAGATGAAAGTGAATTGCGCAATGAGAATAATGGGCTCTTTGAGGATTGTTTTGAGCTGGAGGATGACGAAGAAGCCGAAGAAGAAGAACGAGAAGCTGCAGAAGCAGCTGAACGTAAAACGGCAGAGAAACCCGATGCTGGTGGTGACACCTCCGAGCATGATAGTGGTCAAGAAGAGGCAAATGCCGATAAGAGTAACGAAGAGAAAGAAAAAACTCTGAAAGCAACACCCACAAAATTACAAGATATGCCAGACGATAAAGAATTCCTTCAGAAATTAGTGGAGTGCGTCAGGGAATACCCTGCTCTGTGGGATACAAATAATGCGGACTACAATGATATTATGATACGTGATAATCACTGGCAAGAGATCGCCACAAAATTGGAAGAATTTAAACGTAGGTCTATACTTAAGTGTTTGTAACTCAAATCTAAGCGATTCTTTTTTTTTTTTCAAACTTGTAGGTGAAGTCAAGACGATTAAACTACGCTGGCAGTTGGCCAAATTCAGCTATTATCGCTACAGACGTGAAAACGGTGAAATTTCGGAAAATTCCAAAATGGAACAGTATTGCAAAAACCTACCCATTGATGATATGGAATTTTTAAATTATTCTTAGAATTGTGTATCTCATTTTAATTAAGCTCATTCCCCATATTCCCCAAACTTTTCTCACACTTTAGAATAAGTTTTTAAAGATTGTATTAATATATTTTGTATGTGTTTATTGGATATTATCCTTTAGCCTCCTTTTCTCGTACACTCGCCATTTTACATTATAACTTTATTTTTATTTTTAATTATTTATATTTTTATAATCTTTTTGTATTTCTCTTACTAAAATAGTCATAAATATTTCAAAAATACACATCCAATACCACAAAATTCTTGAGAATATTGTGCGCAAATATAAACGAATATACTACAACTGTAAGCCAATAAACGCAAGGCATTTTAATTACGAAAAAGTACATGGTTTTACTTTCCAATGATTCGGTTCGATTTGAATATTGCTTCAAATTGAAAGGCAGAATGAAGTGCTTTCGCGAAATGTTGTCGGATACAACTTTTCTTTTATAAAGAAGTGGCTAGATAGCTACTTATTCTAAACAAGAAAATAATTAATAACCCTTTTTCTTTGGGAAATCTTTTTTGTTTCTTAAAAAAATTACTTTCCAAAGTTTGTGCAAGTTTTCTTGATTGGTTAGTTATAACAAATCCCTAAAAGTGTATTGACTTTGTCATATTTGATTTTTTGCAGACAAACAAGCCAGTGATGATGAAGATAATGAAATTGAAATTGTGGAACCTAAAACCGATCTTATAACCCTGGATTCCGATGATGATGAACCTACGCCGACACCAACTGCAACACCAACGGCAGCGTCTAAACCCACACAAACACAGCCACTTATTAAAATTCAAAAATCTATACCAGCTACGCCACCAACATCCACAACCATAGCTCAAAGCCGGGTCGTCATAACACCCCTACTGTTGAACCAACAAAAAACACCATCAGCTTCCAACAATATTATGAGTGCCAGGGGTACCTATGTTCCTCCAACTGCAGCAAAAATTACTCCAATCAAAGTTGGCCATTCCTCGGCACCAATGCCTCTTCCCCCTCTAGTTCCGGTCACCACCGCCACAACCCCAACCCCAACGCCGCCGAAGGGTGTGCCTAGCGAGGAAGAGGACAACATGGATTTAATGAGTATGGCTCAAAGTTTTCTGGCCAGCATGTTGGAAGTTGATGTCAACGATGGTTCTTCGCTTAGCAGCTGCGATTCAACACCACACAAGAAAAAGCAGCCACGTAAGAAATTGACCAGCAAACCAAATCCGACGTTGATTAAACAGAAGGCCATTATGGAGCTAGAACGTTTGGAAGAAATGAAACGTAATGATCTGAAGTTGAAAATGAAATGTAAGGTGGAATTGAGTAGGGCTGAAGATGAATATCCCTTCGTCAAAAACCTACTGGAGGCTAAGAAGAAAAATGAAGAAGATATGAAAGTGAAGAACTCGCCGGATGGTACAACCATGATGGTAAATACAGGCCAGGAGACAGTGGAAGTTCATTTAGTTATTGAAGATGATCTGCTGAACAGTTCACTTGAGGAGAAATCCTCTAAGGAGGAGGAACATGGCAACAGAGAAAAAACGAAAAATGAGGAACACAAGCGAAAAGCATCTACCGAAACAAATCTCGAAGACGAAGATGGTAATGGAAAGAAAAATACTGCAATGGAAGTTTTTGAAGTATCTGATGATGTGCTGGCAGATGCCAAAGAAAATAGTTTAGAAATTTTAAGACAGAAAGAGGCGAAAGCATCGATAGAAGAAGAAAAGTCTATCGACGAAAAGGCAATTGAATCTTCAGCTAAAGAGCCCAAGGAAAATAGTGAAGAGTTTTCAGTTACTGAAACAATAGAGAAACTGGTAAAATCAAAGGAATCTGTGGTGGAAACGAGTGAAGAGTCTAAAATGGAAGTTGATGCTTCCCCAGAAGAACAATCTCAAAGATGTGAGGAAGAAACACCAGCAAAGATTGCAGCCGACAGTGATGATGTAGATGTTTATAAAGAAATTGCAAAGGTGTTGCAACGAAAGAGCAGCGTAGAGGAACAACAACAAGAAACAGAGGACACTGTACAGGAGAAGATAACTGCTGCTGTTGCTAATACTATGACCACAACAGAGCAAAATGCTGAGAATAATGACAATTTAACTCAAGGAGACACTGAGAAAGACTCAAACATCGAGAAATGTATTGATAGCGCCAGCGAAGAAGTTACCGACGATATTTTGCAAAAACCATCTACCCCCCTTGTAGATGAAACTATGGAAAGTGATGACATTCAAACGGATATTAATCAAACGCCTACAACAACTCGAGAAGCTGAAATCTCGTGTATTGATGCAACTAGTAAAGAACAAAACACTGCATATCCTTCTGTAACAGAAGAAACGCAGTCCGTAACGGAAGAAAAAGAACAACAGAAAAGTACCAGCAATGGTAATGTCTAATTTAAGGGAAATTCCAGCTGAATTATGTTGGACTAAAACAAAATCATAGCATATACTTTACATATAGATATATAAACAAATATATATTAAGTATGTCTGAAGTAATTATTAAACTAGAATCGAATAGGGTTGTAAAGAACGAACGATTGTAATTTGTGTTAGCTATCCATCAAAAGGTTCAAAATCATTTTTTTTCTAATTTTTTGTTTTTTCAATGCCATTAAAGAGTTCTTTATAATCCTATTCTATGAAATTTCTATTAAGTTGAAACAACACAATACAAAAAAAAAAAAAAAATATTTTTTATGAACCCTTCCTCGTTACACCTTGCAATCCTGAGAAAAAATAATACAATTATATTGTTTTTACTATCTTTAAAATTTGCCTTCCTTTTTTACCTGCAGTAACAGGTATTGAAAATATTAATGAATAAACTTTTTTTTTGTATTTAGTTGTAGTTGTATAAATTTTGAATTAAGCGACAATTTATTAAATTTTTAATTAATATTTTATTTTAATATTAATTATTTTAATTTGGAAATTCTATACTGAAATTTCAACATGTTTATTCAACTGGTTGTACAATATTGATTATTTTTTGTATTTGATTATTGAAAATGCTAATAAATTTTGATTTTGAGACAATACAACAATAGCAAAAAGCGTCTTAAATAAAAAGGGTGTTTGAAACGAAATGGTTTTGTGGGAAACGGTGTTAAAACCGAACGAATTTATTAATGAATTGTTACGGTTGGCGTTGTCTTTTATCGACGAGTTCATTGTCGTAGTTGATGTTTCTATGGGATAAGAATTCATGATAAAATACATTTAATCAGATAAATTTATGGCATTTCTATTGAAAACTTATTTATGTCCTCATATAGCACTCGATAAAATGCAGATTTTTATTGTGGATTTCAGTCGAATTCATTGTTCATAGTTTTTTGGAATAAGATTTCCGTAATACCGAAAAATACCAACTACGCCAAAGTCAAATCAGTATTTTAAATGAAAAAAATGGGGATAGTTTTTCTTTGAGATCAAACATGTAAGCTTTGTTTATTAATTACTCTATTGTTGTTGTAGCAGCATGTTCAGATGTGTTCGTTCTGATGAAAAAAGGGACGACCTGTTTGGACGATTGAACGTGTCATTTGGTCCTGTGCAATAAGTCGGACAGCCGACCTGCTTTCTGCTACCATTTCGAGCGCAGTACGAATTGAAGTTGTTGCTTCTTTAGATCGTGCTTTTAGATTACATTGACATCAATTTATTGAGCTGATGTGCATTCAAGACATTCGCCTCATAACGTAAGGGGTCATAGCATAGGTAACAACAGACAGAACTATCGCGTTGGAATATGTTTAATATGGTTTCCTTATCAGCTCTAGAGGTATTTGCTGTGAGAGATTTGTACGTACTCTGTTCTTATCGCAGTTAGCTACAGCATGCCGGACCACTTGATGAGATATCCATGTAATCTCTGAACCTTGCAGTTGTCAGTGGACAGAGTTATTGAGGCTGTAACTTGCACAGTTAACAGCAAAGATTCGGCTATTCTATCCATGCAATGCAGAAAGCGTTTTCATCAATTACGTAGCGATTTAACCGATCGAAAGTGTCAGTCATAATAGGTTCAGATGCCGGCATTTTAAGCCAAAGTTTACCTCATCGTCGCCGAGAGGGCAGGGAATAGTATCACCACCTGTAGTTGAAAACCAAACGTTTTCAACTTGTTGCGCACCTTATTCTCATCTAGTATGGGGTGACTGATCGTATCAAATGCCTTTGATATATCAAGTACTTCTCTGGCAGTCCTGCCCCATGGTCTGCTAATATGTGTGCAAATGGCGTGTAAAGCTGTTGTTGTATTGTGTTGCTTACGCACTCTATAATAATGATCGGCTACTGAGAAACTCTCTCTGATGCTGGGAGCGAGTAATGCCTGACAACAGCATTGAAGTTAACAATTAAAAGCCACTTTTTCGGCAACCTTGCCTAGCTTCGGTAGCAGGACTGCCCTACAGATTTGCCAGGCATCACTTTCGAGATTCTGTTGAGGTTAAGCGAATTGAACTTTCCGTTTCTGTTCACATTTGCAACACTTTCCAACGATAATTGTGTTGACCCGTTTTTGTGACTTAGTATTCTTGAATGATCTGCGCATTGCCGGTCACATCAACCTTATCTGGCCAAATTTTCCACTTTTTGGACTACAACTAAGAAAACCCGGAGCAAACATTCCGGGCAATGATCTTCCCAATTATATATATTTTTTGTATTATTCATTTCTACCGCTTATTCTTACAAGGTAGCCTTTTGATTTCAGTATGGATGCACAGTGAAGTTCATCACGTTTATTTGCTTTCAATCCTGGCGACTCTGCAAATCCCAAATTGGGGTGACATCTTGCTTCGTATCCTGTATATTTCAATGAACTGACCTCTTAGATTTGTCCATTTTTAGGCACTGCAACAGCAATGTGTTGCTTCTTTCTTCTTCTATGTGTTGTGTTCTCACCATAAGAGGATTTTTTTCTTGATTCTTACGTTGTGGGGGCATTTACAATCTAAATATATATTCTATGAAAACAATAGGTTTGGACCCCAAAAAGGTTTGTATAAAATCTGTTTCAACTAATTTTAAGACTTGATTTAGCCATTGTTTTTTAAAATTTTAAAATGGTCGATATCTGTTTGCAAAAATTAAAATCTTGCTATCCAATTCAGTAATATGGCAACATTTTACAGGTAAACGAAATGTATTGCCCAAGAAGAGGCATAGTGTCATCAACGCATACACTGAAGGGGAATTCCTATTGCACTTCCGTATTACTCGAAGACTTTTCAACACTTTAAGCAGAACATTTTCGGAGAGCGCTCAATACAAAGAACTTCGACCAGATAAGAGGTTGTCGAGTGACGACCATTTGGCCATATTTCTGTGGTTTGCCGGTCATGAAGGGTGTAGTTTTCGTGACCTATCGAATAGGTTTAATGTAACTATTTCTACCGTCAGCCGCGTCATTGTAAGAGTTACCAGTTTCTTGAGTGATTTGAGTCAACAGGTCATAAAATGGCCAACTGCGGCGGAAAAGGAAGCATCAAGCCAGTATTTTCAAACAACGTGCGGTGTATCTGGTGTAATAGGTAAGTTTTTGTTTTATCAATACAAATCTCTCACGTTTTAAATAAGCACTTATTTTTTCTTTAATATATTGTTTCCTCCTTCCACATAGGTTGTATAGATAAAACAGACATCACTATAGACCCACCCACACGTTCCAAAAACGATTATGCTGATCAGAAAGGTGATAATTCTATCCATCTCCAGGGAATTTGCAATGAAAAACGGAAATTTATTAACATTGTCGTCCGATACTCTGAAACTTCGCACGACAGCTTGCAAATGCAAAATTCTCCAATCTTACAAAATCTGGGAAATAAATGTGGGGGTGAGGTATTACTAACTCTTACTCATATTATATTACTACTAATACATTAATGTAGGATATTTTATTCTTGGCGATTCTGAATATGCAAGCCATAAAAATATCATAATCCCGTGTGTGGATAATGGCCATTTGACTAGCGAGGAGCAAAAGTTTAATATGAATCTAAGCTCAGGCCGTGTCAGGATTGAACAAACATTTGACCTGCTAAAGCAAAGGTTTAGACAGCTTTATCATTGCAAATTGAAGGGCGTCGAGAAATTATGCCAATTTGTAAGTGCCTGCTGTGTGCTCCACAATCTGGCAGATGAAAATGACTTTGTTAATGAGGAAGTCGTTTGTGAAGAAGAAGAAGAAGATGGTATTGTTTCAAATGACGTGGATAGAGACCTTGAGGAGCAAGAACTGCTGGGTTTGTAAACAGGTTGAAAAAAAACTAAAACAAACAATTTTTATGTTATTATTTAAATTACTTTGCAGGTTAGTGAAGTGCTTAAAATCATCAAAATTTCAAAATTACAGCCAGTTACATATGACATATGGGAAATGTGTCGGACAGAATGTTCCTGTGAAGTTCATTTATATGGAATATGAAGGTATATTTATACCATCATAATTCATTGCTCGCGGCGTAAGACAACACTGTCTGGCCTCATCAAATAACCCTCCGAATTAGAAGAGATGATTTTTGAAGACAACCGAACGTTTCCAATAAATAATAGGTAATGTTAATAAGTCGGACCATGAGGATAATAACGATGAGTGTAATAATGTGAAATTGATATTTACACGGCTGATCCCGAGTCAGACATAAGATATTCAAATGGAAAAATACTTATCAAATGGAAAAATGTCAAACATCATCAACTTTTACAAAACTTTCAAATTTGTTTAAAGGATGCTTGCTATGAATGATGTCGTAGCAAAATAAATAGATCCTAAGCTAGAATATCCCATTGGATCAAGCTTACCATGATTATGATTTATAATTCACAAAAAATGATAATATCGTTTCCAGAATTGTCGTTAATCAAATTTGAAATGTATGTAGGAATTTCTTTCGTTCTGGCTATCCAGAAGGTCAAAATTGTGTGATTTTCGATTCAAACGAGACTCGTTATGTGAGCCCAAGTTTACTAATTACAGACATTTTACAACGCCTTATAAAAGGATAAAAAATGTCTTTGGTAATTCTGGAATGTGTGTGGAAAATTTGTCAAGGGAGATAGTGATGTTTACAATGGGAATTGAAATATCTCCATCAGTTCACAGCTCGCTATAACAATTATAGCTGGTGCCACAAACAATGCTCCCTCCCATAAACACATATGCATTGCTTATGAGATTTACTCCTGAGATGCTACACATAATAAACACTACACTAATGTAAGACTAAACTATAACACAGACACTGATATTTGTGTTCAAATACAGAGACAAATAGTTTTGTAATTAAAAACTAAAAAAAAGGTAGCAATTTTCAGTAAACTACTTAGACATTAATAGTTTTATAAGTAAGTTAGTACAATTTAGTACTACTTGTTCATTTTGTGTTCTAGTAGCTTCATATTTAAGTATTGTAAATTAATAAATAAAATTAAAATAAAGAAGAATTCGATTTAAGGCGAACTATATAATAAATCAACAAAGCTTATACCCAAATTATTGATTGATTTCTGACATCTCTTGGAGTCGAGTTTTTATACCATCAGCCATATGGATACAGAGGGAATATATCATTTAATAAGGGCAAAACGTGCCTCATCGAAATAACGTTTGAGACCTTAGGTCTCTTTGGACGAAATCCGTTAAAGGACATTTGGAATCGATCTAGGTGTGTCGGTTCACTTCTTATAGTACCTCCTCACAAAACGCCAGAATGTTCAAAGAAAATAGTTTACCTCATAGTGCTAGGTCAGCTGCGAAAATGGACAATATTGGTCCACTACATCGAGTACCTCCTCCCACAAAAGGTTAATATTTGGAATAATTATAACTCTTATAAAATGTGAAATGGAAATCCAATTGTCTTCAAATTGCACATACCAATATTTCCACCAACACCACCAAGGCGGAATATATCGGGCCACTCCCCCAAAAAGGGCAAAATTTGAAATGATTATAACTCTTATGAAATGTTAAATAAGAGTCCAATTGTTTCAAATTTCATACATTCCAATATTTTTATTAGCACAAGATCTGGTGAGATGG